ATTTAGATTATAAATCTACATGTAACTCCATTCTTATGAGGACTTTTGGGAATGTGCTTACCACAGACGGACGCACTCCTCCAAGAGCAGTGTACAGAGAAAGTTTTCCAACAGGAATTCCCATTCCCTGCAAAAGGTTATATGTTTTGCTTTTAACTACGGTAAAATTTCATGAACACCTCAAGTACAAAAAAATGTGCAGTAAATTTTACTTTACCTGACAACCGAGGTCACCGAGCCCCAAAATGCGTTCACCATCAGTCACTACAATTACCTGTATGTTCTTCTCTGGCCAGTTCTTCAGCACTTCAAGAATCTTTCCCCTAAAAAAATATTATATTTTTAGGGACGAAAAACATATATATAAACCTTATTTATAGTACAGCATTATTAATTACTTCTCTTTGAGACTGATAAATAGGCCTTGAGGACGTCTGAAAATGCTTCCGTATTTCTGGCAAGCCTCGCCAACGGTTGGGGTATAGACAATTGGAAGTAGTTCTTCAATGTTAGCAATTAAAAGTTTATAAAACAGCCTTCCATTTCTCTCCTGATGACAGTAATAGTTAGCAGCAAATTTAGCCCACATTTTTAGTCATAGTCAATAGCAGCAACAAAGTACACTTTTAATTTTTGAGTAATATACAGACATTATAAAACATGAAAACTAGTCCGTTTTCATTAAATATGACTTTATTTTAATAACAAAAACATGTCATGAAACTGGACTTAGTTTTATGGGAGTATCATCTACTCGACTTAAGTTAAACATGCGCGTACGGACACGTGTTCTATTCCCTAAACTGGAAAGGGAAAATACCTGAAGATCCATCATGGCTATGTATCGTTGCAATGGGACATCATATTGACGAAGATTATGCATCAATTTCTTCTCCTGGAAACACAATTTTACATTGAGATGTGTTACGGATAATGTTGGGCCTAAAAGAACTCTCAAGAACCAGTCGTCCCAGTTCATAAGGGCACATAACCATTACCCCTTCCGAAAAAGGACACTCCTGTCTTGTCCAACGCTTGCGAAACATTCTTTTTTCAATTCATATTTAGCTGCTCTGGGACACTTTTTGAATAGAATGTGGCGGGTGATCAAGGAGAAGGAAAATACATACCTGAAGTTCTTGGGTCATAACAGCAGGAGGTAGAAGGCCACGCAAGTAATAGGCATCTCTCTCTTGGTCACTAAATGCAAGCCCTTTATTGTAGTGTGGATCACGCATCAAACTATATCCACTGTCGTATGCATCAAAACAACATATAATCATTTCCAAAGCTAAAGAGAATAGGCTGGATCCGGAAACGTAAACAGTAGCTTTCACTGGACCTTCAAAAAATGGATTCTTTACCTAGCCACAGAGAAAGTCCATGGGGTGATAGACTGGTGTTCGGTGGCTCTATCCTCACCATATATATCTGCAACTCCACCAGCTACACCAGCCTTATCATTCAAGTCAAGCACAGTCTCATCATCTCCCATCTCTTTCATTGTACTCTCCATTTTTTACTCTTTATTTTTGAAAAAAAAAATACTCTAATAACGTTTGTTGTCGCCTCCTCTTTGGCCAAATAATGACACACCCAATGCCTCTCTTCTTGTCTGCCACCACACACACACACACAAAAAAAAAAAACATTTTAAACAATATAACAAATTGTTAACCAAACAAAAGCAAGAAAGGTGGAGGGTGTGTTTGGAAAACAACAGATAGCAATTAGCATGTTTGACTAGCAACTTTGTAAAATGATGTTTGGTAACTTAGTTAAAATGTTAATGGTGTGTTCTGGCAAATAACAGTCAGTAGATAGTGGTTGGCAGTTAGCATATCCGGATATCGGTTTGTAAGAACGAAGATGTTTGGTAACTTTGCACAATGCTAAAAAAAATGTAGTGGTAATATCAATATCAAAATGTTGATCCTATCAGCATTTCCAAATCACCTTAGCATAATGGCAGTTCAAAATGTCACCTAATTCATCATATTGATGAGTCAAAAAAAAATTACTGTTTTGGATCAATGTCCCTGAAAAAAGAAAACATCATATGAATGATCGAAATACCATTCAACAGACACCCTTAAAAAGAAAACTAAAATGCTAATCTAGCAAACAACTCAAATAGCATTTTGAGCTGTAAAAAAAATATTGTTTTGGATAATAGAGACAAAGCTAAGCTTACCAAATCGTTGTTAACAAAATAAAATCTAAACTGGGGGAAAAGAAGATTCCAGAATTGGGTCTGTGAAGTTGAAGAATGAATGAGATATATGTGGGTGTTGGCATGCCGCCGAGAAAGAAAGTAGGGGAGATTTCTTTGGGAGCTGAGAAGTGGTAATCGGATGAAAGGGGTGCGTGACAAATTGCACAAGGGGAAAGATGAGAGAGAGTTTGAATTCTTCCTTGTGGTTGTGCCACACCATATTTTGCTTGCAGATTGATTGATGGTTGAGCTTCTTCCTTTGAACATGAAATTCTCAATAAGAAAAACATGAAAAAAGTAATGCAAAATGATAGGGTGATTTGCACTTTTCACCCTCACAATTAGACACACTTGCACAATGTGTAGTGGACAGTGGTGAATCCCCCAAGAAAAATGCTAGGGGTACACGAAATTGTACCACATTTGTCCCACACCCCCTCCATTACCACAAAAATGGGCAAGAGATTTAAAAAAAATTAAATAAATAAAAATGGGGTAAAAATGAGTAGTGGAGAAAAGTGTACCCCTAGCATTGCTCATCCCCGAATGAAGCGATATCCGTCATTTTGCCACCACCTCAACACGTAGCTCAATGACAAAGATAAGTTGTAGGGCCGATCCTTCGGTGCCTCGAGGGTTTTAAAAGCCTCGCATGTGGCACAATAAGAAAGAGACATGTGGACATGATATTCTACCTCTTTTAAAAATTTAAATTATTCTTGTTAATTTAATATTGGCCCCAATCTAAAATTAATTTATTTTTACACCATGAATTATTATTTTGTTAACAGCGGGTTAACGGAACGGCCTATTTTGTGCAACAAAATGAAAGTAAGAATTGCTTTTAGTGAATTTTTGTTTTTTATTTATTTAAATATTTATTTAAGTTTTTAAATAACTTTCTACATAAATTTCTTTTTCCTTTTTTTTAAATATTATTCTTATCTTATAAAAAAATAAGTATAAAATATAAAATATAAAATATAAAAAATAAGTATAAAAATATTAAATATAAGATTTCAATTACTGTTCTCATTTTTTTTATTTTATATATCTATTTTTTTTATTTATATCCAAAATTAGACTAATCTTTAAAGAATACAACAAAATGAAAGTTGGGATTATTTTTAGTGAATTTTTGTTTTTTATTTATATAAATATTTATTTAAGTTTTTAAAAAAAACTTTCTACATAAATTCCTTTTTCCTTTTTTTAAATATTATTCTTATCTTATAAAAAAAATAAGTATAAAATATCAAATATAAAAAATAAGTATAAAAATATTAAATATAATATTTCAGTTATTTTTCTCATTTTTTATTTTTTATATCTAGTTTTTATTTATATCCAAAGTTAGACTAATCTTTAGAAGAATACAAATGATGGAAATCAAACTAAAAATTAGAAGTAGACATATTTGGAACAAGAAAACGAGATTTCAGGACATAATGCTCGTACGTCTCACAAGAATGACATTTAATTAATGAAAAAATTGATAGAAGGAAATCTAAGAAAAATAAAGCAAGAGATTGAGCCGATTTAGGATTAAATTTGAAGGGCCAAATCCGTCGATGGCGCTGGATGGAGATAACGACTCTGAACGAAGGCGGCGGCGATGGAGACGGTCCTCTAGAAAATACGATACAGGGTTGGATGGAGATGGAGACGCAAAACAATTAACGAAGATGACGTTAACGTATGATGGCGCTAGTGGGAAGAAAAATAAATTAATTTTGGATTGGGTCCAATATTAAATTAACAAGAATAAGTTAAATTTTTAAAAGAGGTAAAATATTGTGTCCACATGTCTCTTTCTCATTGCGCCACATGAGGAAGGTTTTAAAATCCTCACTTTGGAAGAGGCACCGAAGGAACCGCCAAGTTGTAGTCATAAAACCCAATAACTCCATTCATCCTTATCTTTTTAGTCTCAAATTAAATTGTATATTTACTATTTATATAGTTAAACATTATTTACTTTGTTTTTCTATTTTCACTAGTCATTTGATTAAATTATATAATCATCTCATTACTAATTTCATAGATTTTTTGATTCAATTTTTAAATATGTAATTTTTATTTTCTAATTCTACATTTTTTAATATAAAATGATTTGAAAATAATTTAAAACAAATATCGTAAACCGAAAGAATAATTTAAACTGAGATGGAGAGAGGATTATACAATTGTTGTTGTTGTTATTATTATTATTATTATTATTATATATATGATATAATTATGTAAAGATTAGAATATTTTAAGATTATATTCCCCCTCTTCCAAAAAAATAACTTTTTTTAGACATCCCACACAAAAAGTTGATGTTTTCCTCTTTATAAAACTTTTTGTGTCTGGTATTCCTTTTCTCTTATTAACATCACTTTCAAAAAAGGATGGGTGTTTAAGGCATGATTTTAATTAGGATGGTTAGACAAACCAAACAAATAATGCTTTTCATGGAAAGAGCAATAATTATAGGAGACATTTAGAATTTTATTTAATGAATACTCCGTAGCTTCTACTTGTTTGTTACTCGTAACCAAAATTAAAATCCTTTCCCTTTTCGGAACATACCAATCTTAAAAAGGCAAGTTGTTGAGGGGTAGATTTATTGTGAGTTAATGTAAAACAAATAAATATTTTCTTACTAGTGAAATAAGTATTTCAAATTTCCGCTTTCCAAAACCGAGTTAAATTCTATCTATTTTAAATATTTTTATTTATAAATTAGTGTAAAAAAATTACAATTTATATATTTAAAAATTATATCAAGAATTTTATAACATAAACGATGCAAAAATATTCTATCTTATTAAACGACAAATATAATGAAAAAAATATGTGCGAGCAAAAGTTATCAAAAGCCTCGAATTATGGGTGACCTAAGGGAGAAATATAATTACTCAAACGTTTGACAGGTAACCAGAGATACATTTAAAAAGAAAGAGGGGAAATATTCCAATTTCTTGGTTGAGTACATATATGAGAAAACAACCATGTTAAAAGTGAGCCCCTAATCATACCATAAAAAAATGCACAAACATTTTAATGGTTTACACTCGTAAAAAATATTAGTTCAATTTAAAGAATTTGCAGTGACATTTTTTGTCAATGTTAATCATCACACTAATATCACGCTAACATCATAAAATGTCAGTGTAAACCTTTGGGGTACAAAATGAGGTAGAAATAGTTTAATCCATGAGAGAAAGTGAGTATTCACCTACTAGTATATAAATGTGCTCTCCCTCCCTCTCTCTCTCTCTCTATGACTTCCATTCACTACAAAAATTCTCCAGAGTGAAAGTTTAATGAGATCATCTTCTCCCATGGCAGCAGGGCAAGAAGAAGTACCCGAATGGATAGGGAAAGCCACGGCCAAATTACAAGGCCCAAAACCCCACCAAGTTTGGTCCGTCCTGGTCGAAGACTTCTGCAACATTCACCGGTGGCTCCCCGCCGTCGACGACTGCTGGCAAGTCGCCGGAGTGAAGGGAGAGGTGGGCGCGGTCCGGTGCGTGGCCACCGGCGGGGGCAAGAAGCTGTGCAACGAGACTCTGATCAGCGTCGACCACGGCGCGCGGTGCCTGAGCTACCGAGCCTTGGAGAACAACGTGGGGATCCACAGGTACGTGTCGACTATGAAGGTCTTGCCGGCGGCGGAAGGCGGCGGCGGCGATGATGAGGCTCCCGGATGCCGGATTGAGTGGTCCTACGAGGCTGACCCGCTTGATGGGATGAGCCGAGAGCGGTTCGATGGTCTTATCAGAAACCATTTAGATGGGATGGTTGAGAATCTTGAGAAAACTTTTCCTTTGAATTCTTGATTCTTTTGTATGAGCAATAATCCAATTTATAAATTCTCCCATCAAATAAAATTAGAATATTGCAACTCATATCAAAACAATGTTTTATTTATATCTTTTTTAATAAGTGAGAATATCTGTATTGCAAGAAGTTCCCAATTTGAACTCCTTTATTGGTTTGAGTCTTTCTTACGTAGAAATTCAATGAAAAGGTCACCATGTTCGATGGACGGATGCATTGATTCAATTTCATTGTGTTTGGTTCAAGATGGAAAAATACTTTCCACTCGCATATATTTAAAAGTGAAAATTGCACTAAATAGGACTAAAACATAATGACTTTCCTAATGTAGAACTTAAACTTTTTATTTCTTAAATAAGACTTAATAATGACCTAGTAGAAAGAATAATGTCCTGTAATCATGAACATTTAGTTGAATAATGACTACTTGATAATGACTAAAGGTCCTACATTGGGAAATAAAAACATATGGTCCTATATTCGGAAAGTCATTATGTTTTAGTCCTATTTAGGTAAATTTCTCTATTTAAAACTGCTTTAAAAATTTTATAAAAATAAATAGTGACAAGATCATTGTATTTTATCAAATAACTAGTATCACATCCGTGCGTTGCACGGTTCCATTTATATTATTAAATTATATTCGGATTATTATTGAAGAATAGAAATTAATATATAATAGAATATAAAGTTCACTAAAGGATTGAATATGAAAATTTTATCTCTATCAGAGTGGAATATGTAATACTAATATTGATAAAAATTACACTTATTTTCCAATCTCATAAAAAATGTGAAACTTATTTTTTACTTATTGAACATCTTTTGAATGGGTTTAAATTTTTTTAAATGGATGAGATATTGCTCATTATTAAATCTTATTTTGGTTGTCCTTACAAAACAATCATTATTCAAGACTATTTGAATTCTTACCATTTATAGATAAGTATTTTTTAATTTTTCATTCTAGTTTATTTAATCAATTGATTTATTTTCATTTAAAAATATGTACAAAAATATACTATGTTGAGTATTTATTTCTTTCCATTTTTAGATGAGTGTTTTTATGATAAAACATATATTTCATCCCTTGATTTATTTTCATTTATACTAAAATTTATACTAAAATATACTATGTTGAATATTTTCTTCTTGCCATTTTTAGATGATATTTTTATACTAATAATTAATTTTTACTTGTTGATTTATTTACATTTATATTAAAATTAACTATGTTGAATATTTATTTCTAAATATTTTCCAAAAATAAACCCTATTGCAAGGCTATTTATTAAACTATTTTTAAAAATATATACTAAAGAAAAGACGCCTCAAAGTGAGATAATGATGTCATTTTTGAAAAGAAAAAAAAAAGACAGTAGAGGTAAAAGTTTGAGAAAAAAGCCAATAAGCACATGCACAACCAAATACCCCCATAATAAGCTCATTATATAATAAAAAGTTCATATATAACAAATTTTTCTAAGATAAATCTAGACCTCTCAATATATAATAAAAAGCATATATATAATGAAAAATAAAAATACAAATAATATTATTAATTTTCCTTCTAGAAATTTTTGACTGTGACTAATGAAAATATTTATATTTATTTATTAATTAAAATTCATATATAACAAAATTTTCCTATAATAAATATAGACCATCCCTAAAAACTTTGACCGGGATTAATAAAAGTGTTTATATTTATTTAATTATAAAAGTCTATATAGTATATACAACAAATTTTCTTAAAATAAATCTAGGCAACAGCTAAAACTTTTGATCATTATAAATAGAAATATTTATATTTATTTAATTATTTATTAAAGTCCACGTGTAACAAATTTTTTCTAAAATAAATTTAGACCACCCGCTGCAATTAAATGATGATGGTGTTAATCTCAATATATAATAAGCTCTTTATATTAGAAAAAAACCATATATAACAAATTTTCTTAAGATAAATCTAGACCTCTCCATATATAATAAAAAGCATATCTATGATTAAAAAAATATAAATAATATTATGCATTTCCCTCCTAGAACCTTTGAGTGTGATTGATAAAAATATTTATATTTATTAATTTATTTATTAAAATTCATATATAACAACTTTTCCTAAAATAAATCTAACCATCCCTAGAAACTTTGACCTTGACTAATAAAAATATTTATATTTATTTATTAAAGACCATTTATAATAAACTTTTCTAAAATATATCTAGATGCACACGTATAAATTTCAACCGTGATTCATAATAATATTTATATTTATTTATTAATTAAATTATAAAGTCCACATATAACAAATTTTCCTAAAATAAGTCTAGACCTCTCCATATATAATAAAAAGTTTTAACACGTCTTTATTAAAGTCCATATATAAAAAAATTTTCTAAAATAAATCTAGACCAACCCCTAGAAACTTTGAAAATAATTAATATATAGAAAATATTTATATTTATTTATTAAAGCCCATATATAAAACAATTTCCCAAAATAAATCTAGACCACCCCTAGAAATTTGACTGTGTTTAATAATAATATTTATGTTTATATTTATTTATTAAATTCCATATAAAATATTTTGTTCTTCCCTAAAATATATCTAAACCTCTCCATATATAATAAAAAGTCAACACATCCATGGGCGGGAAAACTGGTCAAAGAATTCACCTCTTTTTAAATAAAGTATAGATTAATAAAAAAATATAAAAAATAAATATAAAATGACAAATGAATAGTTTGTGTCATTATTATGGAACAAAGAGAATACACTATCCGTCTCAGTATATTTGTTCAGTTTGATTTTTTCGAGTCAAACTCGACAAAATTTGAGCTTCAATTAAATAAAAACCAGAATGTATTTTAACATAAAAATGATTTTATTTAATTTATCGTATTGAAAAAACTTTCAAAATTGTATTTATTATACTAATATGTAATACAAATTGATAAGAATAATTGAAGTTCAAAGTTTATCTAGTGTGACTCGAAAAAATCAAATTAAACAAATATACTGAGAGAAAGGTATTATAATTCTAGAAGAAAATAGAAAAATTAAAAAAAGAAAATAAGAAGACAAAATTTATTGAATTAGTGAAAGAAAAATTAAATTCTTTTTTATTTTTGTGAGAAAAATAAGAAAAAAATATTGTTTTTTTCGTTCTTCCTACTCTGAATATTTGTGGAACCAAACAAAATGTTAAATATTGGACCAAAATTCTGAAGTAGATGGTGAAGATTTACAGGCCGAGAAATTTTTTCGGCAATGGCGGATTATTGCTCCGTCCTCTTCATACGTTCGATTCTTGAAGCAGGAAAAATAGCTGAAAATTTGTCAAATTTTTTTCCTTTTCGAAGTCAATCCAAAATCAAATTCAGATCTGTTCCTATCATTGGATCGATCTCATCTCGAAGCTCAGATCGCTATATGCCTGCGATCCCGCGCGAGCCGCTAGCTACCACCGCCGCCGCCACCGGAGCGTCGTCAATTCCTCCTTCACTGCCGCCGTGTTCCGCCGCCGTAGGAGGAGGAGGAATCGCCGGGAATGGGTGAGAACGGGTTTACGCCGTCGCGATACGTGCAGGTACCGGGCCAGACGAACGACCACTGTGCGGCCCAAATACTGCTGCACTCGCCGGGGCTATGGGGGGACGGATCGGATATGTACCAGTACAGGTTCTTCACGTACGCCCTACCCCGTTTGCTCCTCCAGATCTCCGTCGTCTTCCTCCTCACCCACACCCTCTATCTGCTCCTCAAGCGCTTCCGCCTCCCCCGCATCGTCTCCGAGCTTCTGGTAAACGATTAATCTATCCGCCGGAGTGAATCGATTTTGTATTAAAATTTGTTGGTGAAATTATTATTATTATTAATGGCAGGCGGGGATCATATTGGGGCCAACAGTGCTGGGCAAATTCAAGTTCACCCAAGCCCTCGTGTTCAGACTTGAAGGAGAAGTCTACGTTGACCTCCTCTCAAAGATCGGTTACATCTTTTTCATCTTCCTCAGCGGCGTCAAGATGGACCCGGGCATGATCACCCGAACTGGATCCAAGGCGTGGACCATCGGCGCGGTGGCGGTTCTCGTCCCCTACACCGCCTTCCTCAGCTTCAGCGAGAACATCATTCAGAACTACCCGCAGATCCACCGCTACCGGTGGGCGGCGTTCAGTAGCATTCTCCGCATTCAGAGCATTTACGCGTTCCCCGTCATCGCCTTCCTCCTCGTCGACCTCAAGATCATGAACACCGAGCTCGGCCGCCTCGCTCTCGCGACCGGGCTCATCGCCGACTTGCTCAGTAACCTCATCTCCGCCTTGATTGCTAATATCAAGATGGGGACCATGGCGGCAATGCCGATATTGTCTGTTCATTCTTTTGTATTGACCATCGGGCTGGTCTCCCTTTTCGTGTTGACCATTCGCCCGCTGTCGTCTTTGATCATCCGGCGTACGCCGGAAGGGAAGCCGGTGGACGGGGTCTACGTCATCGTTATTTCGTTCATGGTGTTCTGTTCGTCGATCCTGACGGACAATGCCGGGATGAATTTCCAGTACGGTCCCTTTATACTCGGGCTAGCGATCCCCGACGGGCCGCCGCTCGGGTCGACGCTGGTGGAGAAGCTCGAAACCATTGTCTCCGGCCTTCTGGCGCCGCTGATGGTGACGTACTGCGGAACGAAAGTAAATCTCCTCGACGTATACGATCTCCAGATTATTTTTCAGGTGTGGATCGCAATTTTGTCATGTTACGTCATAAAGTACCTGTCGATCTTCTCGCCGGCAATGATATGCAAGGTCCCCGTGAAAGACGCCGCCGCCCTGGCGTTCGTCTTGAGCACCCAGGGGGTGGTGCAGATGTCGTTCTACCTGAACAACATCATAAACCAGACGTACGATGTGGAGACGTTTTCGACGCTAACGTTGGGCGTGATGATCACGGCGGCGGTGGCACACGTCCTGGTGGCGTCGTTGTACGACTACACAAGGACGTACACGGGCTACCAGAAGAGAGACATCCAGCACGTCACCGGGAATTCCGAGCTGAGGATGATGGTCTGCAGCCACCGGCTAGACGACGTGGCGGCGGCAAAGAAGGTGTTGGAGATTTCCGGCTCGTATCGCGAGAGTCCGCTCTCGATCTACGCGTTGTTCCTGGTGGAGCTTGTCGGTCGGGCCACGCCCCTGCTGATTGACCACCAGCTGGGCCAGAAGAGCAGCTCGTCGAACCTCAGCCGGACCCAGAAGATGGCGGACGCGCTGAGGTTGTTCGAGCAGCAGGACGCGAGCCGGACGACGAGCGTCCAGTTCTTCACTACGATATCCCTCCAGAAGTTCATGCACCACGACATATGCTCCCTCGCGTTCGACAAGCTCGCCTCCATGATCGTCCTCCCCTTCCACCGGAAGTGGAACTACCAAGGGAAGCTGGTGCAGGAGAACAACGGAGTGAGGGCGATGAACAGCTCGGTGCTCGACATGGCGCCCTGCTCTGTCGGCATCGTGATAGACCGCCACAAGATGAAGAGGGGCTCCGAAGCTGTCGGAGCCCCGTTCGAACACGTGGCGGTCATATTCCTGGGGGGAGCCGACGACCGCGAGGCGCTGTCTTACGGTCGCCGGATGTCGCGGTCACCGGCTGTCCGCCTGACCGTGGTGCGATTCGTTCCGTTGGACCCGGATGCGGTGGACAGCCAGTGGGACGCGGTGCTCGACGCGGAACTCTTAAAGGAGGCGCGGCAGGTGGGGCAACACCAGGACAACGTGGTGTACCGGGAGGAGCGGGTGAGGGACGGGGCGGAGACGGCGATGACGATACACGACATGGAGGAGGTGTTCGACCTCATCTTGGTGGGGAGGAGGCACAAGGAGGACTTGCCGCAGCTGCTGGGGCTGAGTGAGTGGAATGACATACCGGAGCTGGGGCTCATCGGAGACATGCTCGCCGCGCCGGAGATCACATCTCCGGTCTCCGTTCTGGTGGTGCAACAACAGTATACCAAGGGCAAATGATTGGCGACATATACGACGTAGGACTGTGTAGGAGTTTGTGAAGATTTTCCATTTTTTTTACCCGGAGTAATTTTTACTCATATGTACCTTAAAATTGACATTTTCTTTCTTTTTGTTCAACACATTCACTTTGTAATGCATATATAGTCATCTTTTCTTCTATTGTAAAGTGTACAAAATATATTTGTTCCTCTTCTTGTTCCTTTTCATTCAGCATGTAATTAAATATATATTTAGATAAATGAAAAAAGAAATATATGAACCACATAAGTTTAAGAAAATAATAGCCATTATTCACATGTCAAATTACACATTCTTTTCTTATAAATGTAGTGTTAATATTACAAGACAAGAACAAATCAAATAATGATAATAATAATAATAATGGCAATATATAAATATGGAACCTTTTCTTCCATGATAAAGACACGGAATTGAACCTTTTAGTTCGGTTGTAAAGTAACTCAAACAATTCCAATGGAAAACATGTTCCTACACGTGTCAAATCGCACGCCTTCCGGGTCCACTTCCATGCCTATCTCCCAATCACATGCAGCCACGTGGCATTCGATTTGACACATAATCAATCTTTGTTGGCTAACCTTAAAACTGACGAGAACCTTTCATTCGACATAGCTTCTCGACTTGAGTTTCTTGTGCATCCAATTGATGATGTCCCAAGCAATGTCTTCGCGCTCGGGCTCGAACAGAAGGTCGTGAAGGAAACCGTCGTAGAGCTTGATGTCCTTGAACGGGGAAGAAGCCTCGTTGTACAGGTCCTGAGAAGCCAGCGGGTCCGTGACCCGGTCAGCGGACCCGTGGAGGACGAAGAACGGGACGGTGACGGACTTGAGGTTGCGCATCAGGTATGAGGTGATGCGCAGAATCTCATGGCCCGTTCGGATCCTCAAAGGCCCGGTGTAAACCAACGGGTCGGAGTACTTGGCCAGGAGTGCCGCGGGGTCTCTTGAAACTGGGATCCCCCTCTTGTGGGACCCCTTGAATTGGTACCTCGGCGCGACAAATGAAAAGAACGGCGCAACAGCCTGCACCCAAGAAACGGCGTTTTGAAAAGGTAAAGAAAATGGTAACGCTAATTGAAAAGACTGTTTTCAAACGAGGCCTTGGTCAAAAAGGTCTTTTTTTTTTGTCCTTTTGGGGGGTTGGGGTGTTGAAGGGAAGACTTACACCAACAATAGGATGTGCAGGCTTGACACGCAAAGCTGGGGAAGTCAATATTACTCCTTCAACCATCTTTTCAATGGAAGGGGATGAAGCGGCCTATACGGAGGGACAAGAATTTGATTAACATGAGCATTGAAAGCCGAAGAGGAAAGATAGATGATGATAGATCACAATGTGAATTTTGAGGATAATTTCACCTTTAGAACAATAGCTCCTCCGGTGGAATGTCCAAAAAGGAAGCAAGGTATCCCGGGGTTTTCATGCGTCACCTTTTCCAGGAATGCCCTCTGTTAAACATGACAATGCAAGGAATAACTTTAATAAAACAAGTGGCCATGGAACTTATTTTTTTATACACGCCGAAGTTTTTCCCACAAATTAACCCTCATATATATTGTGTCTCACTCTACCAAACCGTGCCTAACTTGGCCTACCAGGCACGCCTAAGGCTCTGTTTACCAGCCAGGTTCGACTTAATTATTTGGCTGGAATAGATGTTACCAGAATACTAAATAGTAACCCAACCAGCCCGAGCAATTATATTTATAAAAATGTGTTGAGAAAACATACAGTGTCTGCAACCACATTGTCCAAGGAAGGTACATATCCGTGCAGTCCATCACTACCGCCATGCCCTGTTTACATGATAGAGTTTTGTTAATTCCTAACAAGTGAAGCTAACACTGTGCCAAGAACAATCGGTATTATATATGATAAGAAACATCTGACATCAAAGTAAATAGATTCAAGACTAGAAATGCATCATCCCTGCTATTGGGCATTAAATATAATGAACATCAAAGCATATACTATGAAGCATTTAAAATTCATTAAGGTAGCGTTTGGGAACTACCATTTCATTTCAATTCTTGCATTTCAATTCCAAAATTTGAATACTACAATTTCAAATGATTGGGGGAGGTATGTGGATTTCAAATAGCGCTTTGTTATGAATTAGAGCAATTTACCTCTAATCTAAATCTAAATGTTTTAAGGTTCCCAAACATGGAATTTGAGCCAAATTTGGATTTGAAATTCAAATCTAAGTTCCCAAACATACATAGAAGATTTAAACATGTTGATTGTTGAACTACACTTTTTAAGGAAAGGGGGGATTGCTTTGGAGCATGTATTGGAAGCTCTTAGTATTTGCAGATGAAGCCAAAAGTATACAATATTTCCCGGAACACATGAAATCATGCTACCTCTGAACTTATGAATATGGAAACCCACAGGGACAAAAATAACATTTCTTACCAATCCAGTCCATTGCATAGACCCCAAAGTTGTAGGAACATAGCTGATGAGCAAATTGAGCATACCGGCCACTGAAGAAATGTAGAATAGTAGCACAAGATTATTAGCTGTGTGAGTTCAATTCAAACCGAAGCAGAGATAGACATCAATCATTGGGTATGAATAAAGAAGAATGGAGGATTCAATGTCCCTTAGGGACACCACAAAACAAAGCTCTAACTCCTCTAAGCATGGATTGATAAAGGGATTAAAGGGAGAGGATGAATTAGGTCCATTAATAATGAAATGAAGAAGTAATGAGAGACAATGAACTTACCCATGCTCATTGAGTCCATGAACTATGATCATAACACCCCTGAAATACACAGGATAAAAGTGTTAGTATGACGTCTGAATACAGAGACATCGGACTTCATGCAGCCTGTGCTCTGCTGTTTTAGGCTTCCACCCCCCTCCCCCCCCCCTTTCCTCATTTACTTGTTTAACAGTTCTTAATATAAACTCTAATGATAGAATTTAAGATTGGGGAGGGCCACTAGACTGAGCCACAAATCCCACAAGACACTTGGGTTGAACCACACTTCAAAGTTAAAATCTGAGACTCTAACATCAACTCACCTCAATTCCAATATTAAAACGCCGTAAGCAAAAATGCCATGAAACACCTATGCAGAAAAAAAGTCATCTAACTAATGCAAGTGCCACCATAAAAAGCCTAATGCCTTTCCATCTCTCTTTTAGAAGCAAGCAAACAACCAACCAAAAACCAAACAAGCAATTTTCCAGCAAAAGAGGAGAAGAAATGGAGGGGAAAGGTATGTAGGTCAGGAGGGAGGGAGAGAGAGAGAGAGAGAGAGAGAGAGAAATAGATTAAATATTTGAATTCAAGTGGGTTGTTAGATTAAAAATGTTTTTGGGTGTACCAATAATTGACTTTCCTCTCATTTCTTCTGGAATTCACCTATCACTTCTTTTACCCATTTCCTCCATATTTCTTCTCTACCATCCCAACGAAATACTTGAGATTCGTGATTTCCTCTAACTTCCGTTCCCTTCTTTCCCTTCCCAGTCCATTTTTTTGCTCTCAAACACACTACAAATGTCTATATGCAACAGTTCAATTGTTCAATCAAACAACTATGCTCACCTAAAAATCATTTACTCGTTTACCCATTTACTCTCTCAATCCTAAATTATTTTTCCCTTTAGTTTTTTTCATATAATTTAAGTAAAGTAAAATTGTTTGGTTGATATTTACAAAGAGAAGATTAAAATCTCAAGGGGTGAACAGCAAGTAAAAGTTAAGCAACAGCTAACAAGATAATAACATCATCAATGTTAAAAACAACCACTTAATTGCAAGTAGTCGTATATTTCCAATGATTTAAGAGGTGATCAGTTCAAAAAAAATTAGAGTCAAAGAAGGATATAGATTGGAACGAAATTGAGCAACTTCTACATTTCAAAAGAGGGAAGGGAGATCATGCATACTATAAACAAGGAATTAATCAAATAGCAAGAGCCATACTTCAATTCACCAGAAACAGGGAACCACGAGCGGCAAAACAAGGCGTTGCGTCGAATTCCATGGAACAAAAACGTGTTCCACTCGCACCTGGCGCTTCCCTCAGCACCATCCGCCGGGGGAACCATGTCCAGTGACTCCGCAAGGGATCTACGCCAGAGAGAGTCCTCCTCGTCCCGCCGCAGCGCGAACTTCCGCCGTCTCCCGGAAGCGGCGGCGGCGGCCACGGAGGGGGACGGCGGAGGAGAGGGCGCGGTCGGGTAGCGGAACAGGAGGAGGGCGATCCAGACGAAAACCGATCGGAGGTAAATGATCGCGCGGCGGAAAGCGCAGTATGATAGGACAGAGCGGCGGAGGTTTTTGAAGACCGGGATGATTCGGCCGCTGGCGCCGGACGTTAGCTCCTCCACCTGCGCCGCTTCCATTGCAGAATTTGCGCGAACGAGTATGAATTTCTGAACAAATTAACGATTCCGAGATTTGGAGAGAGAGAGAGAGAGAGAGAGAGAATAAGAATCTTTGGGCGTTTATATAATGAGTGGTTCTTAATTTTGAGGCTGAGGACGAAACTACGCGTTTTGACTTTTTCAAGGACTCACTGAGCAGTAGTTTAGGTGTGGAGGCGGTCGGTTCTTATGGAAATTGGAAACAGGACATTGAGTTGGAATTGACGGTTCTAAAAAGGAATAAGCTATGTGTACCCCAACCATCTTATCCTAATTTGTACCCTGCAGGTTTGCATCAATATTTTGTGTTGGTGTGAAACTAATTTTTGTTAACGCACCAATATTTGTGTCCGTGTAAATTTTTATTAATGCACCAACACTTGGGTCGGTGTAAAGCATCAAAATGTTTGTGCAAAACTGTGGTATACAAGTGGTGTACATCTTTTGGTGTAAGTGTAGCATGGTCCATCTAAAAAATGAATGAGCCTCATCCGGAGGTTCGCTTAGAGTTTTAGACGATGGAATGATTAACTAGAGAAGATAAATTATTCGTGATTATAAGCTAATGACAAAGAGTAGAATAACTATTTTATGCTTAGTATAGATATTTTTCAGTTGTCCGAAATCTAATTTAAATCTTACCCCATGACACTAGCTTTTGCCAACTGTTCAACGTCCACCAACAAAAAAATCAGTATGAGACTTGAATGTGTGCGATTTAGGTAATCAAAGTGAAAATTAGTGGAGGGGTGGTTTGGATCTAGACAAATACTTTTATGTTCATTCCAATTGTAAAGACATTGTTTATGTAGACTTTTTAGTATTAGTATTAGAATTATGATTGGGATTAAATGAGTAGAATTAGAATTAGGATTAAGATTGAAAGATTAGGATTAGAATTAGGATTAGGATTATGATTATGATTAGAGCTAGGGGATTAAGATTAGAATTTAGATTAAAATTTAGATCAGGAGATTGAGATTTGATATATGGGATTAAATTTGAAATCAACATTAAACACGTTGGCTTGCGTAAAATATGCATTTTTCCAGATTAACTTCTAAATCTAATAACTTTTGTGAGAAGACACATGAATTAAGCATAAACCTTGTGTGCAAAGAATCACAACTCTTTAATGTATGGATCTAGAGATCCAATAAAAATAAGAGTAAAAATACTCTCAATATGTTGCGGGTTCAAAACTTGAATTTGGTTTGAGGGATGTATATTTATAGTGGGCGTAACAATAGTTAGAATTCACCATCCTTAAAACTTGAAGATCGGATCTTAATGACTTCATATTCTTGCACCCCAATTCTCTTTCCTTCTTAGTTGGAAAACTCATATGATCTAGTCAAATCTGATCTAAATGTAGTTATATTTAAATCTGTTTCTGATCTGATATGATCAACAAATTATATTGTACAGCCGGTTATACCTATCTCTCGGTACAATTGGCTATTTGAAGTAGTCCAGGATCGCACGAAACAGCGAAGATTATACAACAACGAAGATGGCGAGAAGCGATGGTGGCGAAAATCAGGCAAAAAATGATGGAGATGGGAAGCTCTAAGGAGCAACAAAGGTGATGGTGGAAGTGGCATTACGGATGGGGAAGCTCATGTCCAAACCGTAGTCGGAGTAGGAAGATTTCAGGAAGAAAGAAAGAATTACAAATTTAAAAGGGGAGAAAGAAAGAATTACAGATTAAATAAAAATGGTGATCTATATTAATATAAAAATACCTTAATTATATTCATCTTATTTAGAATTTTAAAAATTTGAATTCAATATATTAATATGCAATACGGACTGAGAGTAATTGATGATTAAAGTGTGTCCAATTTCGTTCAAAAAAGTTAAACTAGACAATACATTGAGATAGATGGAGCATTACCTTATATGGGGTCCTTGAAGCCATTAACCCAAGCTCTCGCCAAGGCGCCCTATTCTTGTGTCGTCCACAGTTTGTTTGGGCTTCTTCAAATCTTCTTCTTGATTATGCGAAACCTCTTTTTCCCCTTCTCCGCGGTTTAACCCTTCAGATTGTGTTTGCGCATGTCTTTCTTAAAAAAAATTATTGTCCACTTGGTGTTGAAATAATTGTGGCGGCAGGGTGGCGGTGCAGTACGGTTGGTAGGGCAGTGGCAGCGGGGTGGGGGCTAGAGTACGGTTGTGACTTTTGCGGTGTGGGATGTAGTATGTTTGGTATGGTTGGGGAGATTGACATGTTTGTCGATGACTGAAATCGGCCTAATTGAAATTAGAATATGATTAGTACCCGGGGACGATTTGGTTGGTTTGAGCCAATTTTACTAAATTTTTTTGTCTTTTGGTTGTTTTTGGTGGATTGATACATCAAAGTCCAAGATCAGAAACTCAATCAATGGATACATAAGTTCCAATTAAGCATAGTGTCGGTGCAGTCGTACACGACCTAAGACCTAATGATTCAATGTTGTCCCAGAACGAGTTTAGGTAGCGTATCTTACTTTCTAAGATTTGTGATCACGGGTCTCTGGGGCATAGCGAGCGGTTCATGGCGGTTTAGGTTCTTTGGACTATAAAGTTTGAGGACTAGTGCACCCTCTTGGGCCAACACACGATTAGGACGTGTGTTATTAATTGGCGCATTTTGTGCTCTTTTTCGTCCACAAATATCTTTCTTTGGCCCTCTGAGTGAGATAAAACCTGTAATCATTTTTTTAATTATTGATGATGTCAAATGGCCAAAGAATAAAGATTGATAGGGTCCGTCCAAAGTTCCCTTTTGTTGGAAAATTGACAAGTTGACAACACTACTTTTAAGTCTAGCCGATTTTTCAGATATAAAATTAGTGGCAATATGGTAAAAGTAATGCAATGTTATGGGTGTTTATCTACCTACTCCCTCCGTTCCCCGTAGATCTTTCCAATAGCCCTTTTTCTTTGTCCACAATAGATCTTCTCATTTCATTTTTTAACAATTAAAATACCACGACTACCCCCACTTACTTTATTTATTACACCTCACCCACCTCATTTAATACACTCCACCCTTTTTTCATTAAGGGTATTATGGTAAACTTTCACCTTTTTTCAACTCTCCTTAAAAATCACCAAAAGTCAAAATGAGAACATCTTAGGGAGACGGAGTGAGTATAAATTAGTCAAAATTTTTTATAAATTATTTTTTATTTATAAGTCATCTCATTACGTGTTTTTTTGCTCATAGTTTGACTTTAAAAAAATTTAGGAGGTCTTACATATTTATTTTTAACTTTTTTTTGTTTTGACCAGATTATTTATAAATCATCTCTCACCTATTATATAACATTTCCAAATGACTTATTTCTCATTTAGTTCATTTTACTTTCTCGAAAAAATATTTAACTTATAAGTAAATTTATAAGTTAAAAATTATTTATCATAAATAAGTCAATAGACAACCGTACCTAGAAAACTCACTTTATTTACCAAAAAATCCATAGCCTCTTAACATATCTTTAAGAAGCAAATTAGACAAGTTGCACTTTTTTTGATATATGAACCTCTTTTTGAGATAAATATAGCTAGTACGTTTTAAGATTAAAAATTTTAGGTTTCAATTCACTCTAATTTTATAAAAGTTAAATTCGAAATTGATAACCTTTTAAATAAAATTTTTAAAATTTGAACAATAATTAAATAAAATTTATACGTAGTATTAGATATTGAGAAAAAAAAATCTTTATTAGATTTATCTTGTAAATATTTTATATAGTGTTTTTTTATCTAATTAATAAATTATGTAATTTTATATTCTACATTTTTTTCATCCGTGGTTAAAAAAAAGTTATAGTTTCAACTTTCAACTTTTAAAAAAGTTTCGCGGCTCAATATTGTTTTTCTATTCTCTGCACACATTTAAAGTTTAAACTGGCGATTTGGCTTTTAAATATACTCCGTATTTGTATACTACGGAGTATAATATTTTTTTAGTACTATTATAACTTTATTATAATGAAGTATTTGTTCTAATATATAAACTTTCTCAACCTATTAAGAATACTAGTGCATCACCCGTGCGATGCACGGAGAGATAAAGTTTATCACAAACTCAAAAAGATATGAGAATTGTTGATACTGAATATTATTTAATAAATAAGGAGATATGTCCATCTTCTTACATATCTTATTATTTATTTAATTCTAAATAAAACTACAACATTCAAACCCTATTATTCAAATGAATTAAAATAAAAACAATGTATGTTTAAACATCAATTGTACATTTTCAAAAACCTCCTTATTGTTAGGTCCTTGATATTTAGCATATGGGTTGGCGTTATTTTTGACAACACAAAATCACTAGTTTAGTGTAGTGTAGTGCCCTTATGTTAGTAGAATTTTGTTGGTAGAATTATTGGTCATCCTGCATGTCTACATGGACTGGGACACTGCGCTGGAAGTGTATAGCGTGAAGAAGGTTTCTGTTCTGTCAAAGCAGTTAGCCAAACTGACGACTCCTTCTTGGACTCAACGTAGTAATATGCGCGAGAGTTCTACAGAATAAAGGTTAGGGTTTCATCCTATACTAGTCCAGAAATATAAATAGGAGATGAACGCTTGGCAGAAGTGGCGTGAAAAAGAGATATATTCGGCTGATAAAGAGAGAACATACAGAGAGAGTTAATCTACCATAAAGTAGAGCGTATCATATACGTGAGATTACAGCAAGAAGATCAGACTTGGATCTTCTCTGAAGGTTTGTTCAGCTGGTGCATCGTGTGAGGCTGAGCAAAGGTCAAGAACACATCCTTATTGCAGAGCAACGAGAAGGTGTAATAGGCCTAGTTTGACACAAACAGAGTTTGGTGTCTGATCACGTAAGTAGACAAATCTATTCAATAGAAGGGTCTGTTGAGTTTGATTGTGTAATTCTTATGATGATCTAGCGGAAAGGCTATTACACGGATGTGGGCCTCGCAGACGTAGGAGAGTTGGCTCCGAACTGCGTAAACAAATTCCTGTGTCTTTGCTTGCTTTCGTTTTGTTTGGTTTGGTGTTAGAAAAGGTGTTGTAGCATTCTGTGAAACTTAGTTGTTGCGCTACAGCACAATTTCTAACCACCTTCTGCTGTGTTAAGTGTGTGTGTCTTTGGTTTATATACTGTGCTGTGGGTGTGGAAATTTCATTTGGTATCAGAGCCTGCATAGCTTATTTTACTAGCTATCGATCATATCATGGGAGACATGGAAGAAGGAGCGAATGTTCAGAGACCACCTTTACTGCGTGGACATAACTACAATTTCTGGAAGGGCAGGATGAGGGCCTTTCTCAAATCCCTTGGTGGTGGAGTCTGGAGAAGTGTAGAAACTGGGTGGACTGAACCGCGCAAATACTCTGATGATCTGACAACGTCAAGAATCAAACCATTCGAAGAATATAGCAGAGCTGAAGTAACCGCTGCTGAGTTTAATGACAAAGCCTTAAATGCAATCTTTGGGGCAGTGGACTCTACCCAATACAAGCTCATCTCAAACTGTGACAATGCCAAGGAAGCTTGGGATATTCTTGAAGTCACGCATGAGGGAGATGAGGAAGTGAAGACTGCAAAATATCAGATCTTGATGACTCAATATGAAAATCTGCGCATGGACGAGAAGGAAAAGATCACTGAATTTCATGGAAGAGTTAGAGATATTGCAAACCAGGCTGCACGACTGAATGAACCCATTCCAGAAAACAAGCTGGTTCTCAAGGTGCTGAGATCACTTCCAAAAGAATATGAGATGGATGTCAAGGCCATTCGACGTTCCCATAACATCAAAAACATGACTCTTGACGCACTTATGGGGATACTGGAATCAATTGAACTGGACATGACAGAAGATAATAAACGAAGGAAACCTGATAAGCAGATTGCATTTCCCAGCACTAAGGTGGAAGATGACAGAGAACATGATTGGTCACTTGATGAAGATTTCCAAGAGCAGCTTTCATTGTTCACTCGACAATTCAAGANACATGAAGGCACCTCCAAGGGACTTCCATCAAAAGATGCTAAGTATAGAGAAGCCAAATACACAGAAAGCTCAAACTATATGAAGAAGAAGGGGCCACAGTGTTTTGAATGTGGCGGATATGGCCATATCCAGTCTGAGTGTGCCAACAATCTAAAAAAGAAGAGACAAGCTTTCAAGGCAACTTGGAGTGATGATGAAACTGAAGATCAGAGTGATTATGAAGAATCTAACTGTGCATTCATTGCAAATGTTGATCTAGGTGACGAAGAGAGTCTTGAAGAACAACTCGAGGATCTGCAAGAAAAATGGTTAGAACTCCTGATGGTGAACAAAAGGAATGTCACAGACAAAAACAGACTGATGTCAGAAGTTGATGCTTTGAAGGAGAGAATTGACGGACTCACCAGGAAAATTGAAGAACTTGAAGGAGAAAAATCCAATCTGCTATTCGAGATAAATCAACTAAAGTCCTATCAAAAATGGATCAAGGTTGCTGGAGCAGAGGTGTTAGATCATCACTCGATTATGGCAAAATCTCCTGGAGACATGACATGCATTGGATATACTGATAAAGGAAAGATGCCACAATCGCTTGAAGTCAAGTTTGTCAAAGCTTCTGAAGTAACGACATCCGCCAGCCCACATCAGTCCAAAAAGGAGCATCAAACACTCTCATACAAGAATCCCTATCATCATTACAGATGCTATAACTACAACAAGTGGGGACACATACAACGTCAGTGTGGCACTAGATGGAGCAAGCGATGGGTCACTAAGCGGTACAAACAAATCTGGATACCAAAACAATCTGCCTCTGTGGCCAACACTTGCTACCGGGTCACTCCAGATCAATGGCTCCTAGATAGTGGATGTTCACATCATATGACAGGTGACAGAGAAAACCTCATTAACATCAAGACGCTTGAACACGGAAGTGTTCGTTTTGGTGGTGGAGCACAAGGAAAAATAGTTGGCAGTGGCACGCTCAATGTATCCGGACTACCACCTATCAAAAATGTATGGTTAGTCCAAGGATTACAGGTGAATCTGCTCAGCATAAGTCAAATATGTGATCAAGGGCTGGAAGTATTTTTTACACAACAAAAGTGCAGAGTAAGAGACAGAAGCAAACAAGTGGTGCTTGAAGGTGACAGAACCGCAGATAACTGCTATAAAGTAACCCCAAATGTTCTCTGTTTCTCAGCAAGTGAAAAAGATGCAAGGTTATGGCACTATCGTCTGGGGCATCTGAACTATAAAGATCTTGTAACTCTGTCGAATTCAGGAGCTGTGAGGGGATTACCAAAAATTATCAATAAAGAGACAGAGAAATGTGGTCCTTGCCAAAAGGGAAAACAGACACGCAAAACTCATCCTGTAAAGGTACTTCAGTCCACAAAATGTCCTTTGGAGCTGCTGCATATAGACCTTTTTGGACTTATGAAGACTGAAAGTATTGGAGGCAAGAGATTTGTGCTCATGGTGGTTGATGATTTTACAAGGTATACATGGGTATGCTTTTTAAGGCATAAGGATGACGCACTATATGCCTTTGCTACACTTTGCAATAAAGTCCAAAATGAGAAACAGTCAAAGATTCAAAAGGTTATACGAGTGAGAAGTGATCATGGAGGGGAGTTCGACAGCCAACCTTTCAGCAACTACTGTGATGAACAAGGAATAGCACATGAGTTCTCAGCACCAAAAACCCCACAACAAAATGGGGTAGCCGAAAGAAAGAACAGACATGTGCAGGAAATGGCAAGAACAATGCTTCACACACAACGATTGCCAGAAAATCTTTGGGCAGAGGCCGTACACACAGCCTGCTACACAATAAACCGGGTGTACATAAGAAGTGGAACTCAAGCTACTCCATATGAACTGTGGAAAGGGAGAACACCAAATGTGGGACATTTTCACATTTTTGGTGCAAAATGCTTCGTTCTTCGAGATCGAGAGCATAAAAGTAAGTTTGATGCAAAAAGTGATGATGCTATATTCGTGGGATACTCACCAAACAGCAAAGCCTTCAGAGTATTCAACAAACGCACCAGGACAATCATGGAGTCCATAAATGTCATAGTAGATGACAAAGCACTATGGAAGAATGACAGTGACACAAGAGATGATGAACCACCTGCTGAACAGCAAACTGAAGAAGCTTCACCAACAACAGACACAGAAGATCAATCAGATGCAGAACCACAGGCAAGTCAACCAGAAGAAGTCCGAGTGCCCAATCACATTCAAAAGAATCATCCTCTAGAAAATGTGATTGGAGATCCACAAGAAGGTATGCGTACTCGGAAAAAGAAGATTGACTATGTTGAGATGATCAATGCCTTCTATACATCATCAGTTGAACCAAGAAATGTCAAAGAAGCCCTGACAGATGAAGCGTGGATAAACGCAATGCAGGAAGAGCTTGCACAGTTTGAGCGAAATCAGGTATGGGAACTGGTGCCAAAACCTGAGGATGTGAACATTATTGGCACGAAGTGGATTTTTCGAAACAAAACTGATGAAGACGGCAATGTGATAAGAAACAAAGCAAGGCTAGTGGCTCAGGGATACACACAGGTTGAAGGAGTGGATTTTAAAGAAACCTTTGCACCTGTGGCGAGACTTGAATCAATCCGAATACTCATCAGTATGGCATGTGTCTGGAATATGAAATTGTATCAAATGGATGTCAAAACAGCCTTTTTGAATGGATATCTTAAAGAAGAGGTTTGTGTATCCCAACCCAAAGGATTTGAAGATACCGTACATCCAACGAGAAGGTGTAATAGGCCTAGTTTGACACAAACAGAGTTTGGTGTCTGATCACGTAAGTAGACAAATCTGTTCAATAGAAGGGTCTGTTGAGTTTGATTGTGTAATTTTTATGATGATCTAGTGGAAAGGCTATTACACGGATGTGGGCCTCGTAGACGTAGGAGAGTTGGCTCCGAACTACGTAAACAAATTCCTGTGTCTTTGCTTGCTTTCGTTTTGTTTGGTTTGGTGTTAGAAAAGGTGTTGTAGCATTCTGTGAAACTTAGTTGTTGCGCTACAGCACAATTTCTAACCACCTTCTGCTGTGTTAAGTGTGTGTGTCTTTGGTTTATATACTGTGCTGTGGGTGTGGAAATTTCACTTATAAACTACATTATCTGTAGTATTACATGGAGTATTATCAAAATTATATATTATTACTTTTAATCCCTCGCGAGATCGTACCTTAGACATGGCGACATATAGTTTTCTGTGACTAAAAACAGATTTTTTCAATAATAAACCAACATGAGAGAGAGATTGTCCCTGACTTTTGTTTATGGTCATTGCATATGATACCATAACCGGAAATTGTCATCTTCTTTGAAACTTAAATGGCAATCTGGTGTCAGATGGAGTCAATGAAACTTGCGGTATTAAAACCATTTGTCCTGCCTTTTTTCCATGAATCATCTTTGCTTCCAACAAACGGTTACCAAGTCTTGTAACAATTAAACGCGTTCCGTTGCACAGACCATTGGCATGATCAATGTTGCGCAGAAGCATTATCAGAGTGCCAACTTTAAGTGTTAGTTCGTGGTTCAGAATTTACGAAGATCTAATCGAGTTCAAATACTCTGTGGTGTGTAAATTCCCAACTAAAGAAGCATTCATATCAGACTGACAAGCATTATCGGCACTCAAATAGACCTTCTCATCGCCTTCATTCATTGTGATCATGTATTGATTTATTGATTCAACTACTTCAAGTGTTGGGGATAAAATTGCTCTTTCTTGTAGTAAAGTATCTTCACCAAAATTTGTTGCAAATGCAGGGTAAATAGTTTCTACCATTCTTCCTATAGGATTATTCCTTGGCTCAACCAGAAAATCTGATGGAATTTCAATTTCTGCACAACCATCATTCGGAGGATTAACCTTTCCATCACCAATAATCCAATATCTGCTATCCAATTGGTAAAACGTTCAATTTATGCGCTCTCACTCTCTTTTCCATTTGAAACTCTCATGTTCTTGGTAGTCTGATGACAGTCCTTTTTAGACTGTTTCGAGTTCTTCTGTGGTGTAAGTTGCGTCGTACAATCAACTATATCAAAACAACAATTAGGAAATTATATTTTCATTGAGTTTAAGACAACATATTTTAAATAAACAGATCTATGAGCTTCAATATTATTCATACTTATAAAAGATACTCTATACGTGCCCGATTATTTGCCATATTTGTTTTTTTCTACTAATAACGGCAAACTTTTACCTCAAAAAATATAAAAAATTATTAGAAATTGATACATATATTTTTTGTATTAGATTTATTATGTAAATTGTTATTAAAATATTATATTAATTTCTATATACAATATATATAAAAAGTTTAATTTAAATTACGGTAGAGTTAACAAACAAATGACAAGAATTTTTTAATATTGACAAATAATTAGGGACGAAGGTAGAAGTACGTAAAGAACTAACCATTTGTAATGTCATTCAGGGAATTCATTTGAATATGAGATCTTTGTTTTTGTGATAAACTTAACGGGTTTTGAATCTGAGAAGAACACAATGGCATCGTATTTTGTACATTTGTACCTGTAATAATATTATTATTTAGTAAAAAATATAATTCCTAAAAAATATAATGATTAGCTTTTAAAGTGATATATAATTTTTCTAGACATTTGAAATTTTTAAAATTCACAAGTATTATTGCCCAATAAAAGCAATTCCCCCAATCAAAGCCCATGTCTCATTTTAACCTGGCGAGTCCAAAACCTTTCCTACTAACCTAATTGCCTTGACTATTAACTTTTTTAAACAGGCGATTTGGCTTTTAAATATACTCCATATTTGTATACTACGGAGTATAATATTTTTTAGTACTATTATAACTTTATTATAATGAAGTATTTGTTCTAATATATAAATTTTCTCAACCTATTAAGAATATAATAAAGACTCAACATTTTCTTATAATTCAAACTGGTCATCTCCAATTTCAGGAGGCACTTTTTGAATCGGTTGTTTGAGAGCACCCGATTCAAAAACTCTCTTCCAGAACTGGCACCAATTCTAGGAGAAACTTTTTGAATCGGTTGGACAACTGATGCAAAAAGTGTTTGCACCAAATGCACCGCTATCTTTTGCATCGGTTGAAAATGATTTAAAAAGTAAAAAACAATCGATTCAAAAAGTAATTTCTGTAGTACCTAGTGTCTTGGAGAATATATTTCTCCAACTCTCTCGTTGCATTCCCATCTCCCTCCCTATCTCTTAATTTCTAGTTTCTACTAATGGGAGAACACCTTTTTTTTTTCATTACACTCAACATTGTCTCAAATAGCCATACCACACCAAAGAACAGTAAGAAGAAATAAAAATGTGGGCTAATAATGATTCATGGCATTTCTTCTTTTTCTCCATCCTTGTTTTGTTTGTTTTCTTTCTTTCACACTCACGCATTTCACATTACATTTTCTTTCTTTTTTTTTCTATTACTTTTTTTTCACTCCGGCCAGCACTAAAATAAACTCCAACATTTATAATTAATACTCCGTATTTGGTAAATAAGAAAATATCTCAACATGTAGGTGCTCTAAGTATGTGCAAAGTAATAAACACGGTGAATTTTCTTTACCGCGCAAATAAACACGTGCTACGATAAACATCGTACTTTATACTACCTCCGTCCCAAAAAGATTGACACATTTTGACTAAAGTTGAAATTAAGAGATGGATAATTTTGTGTTGACTTTCCCAAAATGCCCTTGATGTGATGGGTAAAAGTAGCACGTGATGTATAGATTATTAGAAAAAAGATATGATGTGATAGGTAGGGTTTGAAAAAGTAATGGGTAAAAGTGATTTTTTAATATAAATGGGTAGGAGATTGTGGGACACAATTTTTTTGAAAGGTGTAAATCTTTTTGGGACGGAGGGAGTAATAATCTTGAGATCGATGAAATTTAACACTATTTTTGTCATTTGATTAAAAACGAAGATCCGGAGGTCCTCCGATTCTTGCAGTTAGTCGGTCTTCTGATTTTTCTGCATCCGGCACTAACCGTACATTCCAATAATGTATATGTTCACTAGGAAACCAACTAACCACAGTATATATATATATGAAGCATGAAGTGCCACAGCCCACTGTATTGTAATTTAAGGCTGGCAATTAAAATGAATGAACTCATTTCCCTGATTAACAAGATTCATGTGAATTTACTATATTTAAAGTTTTTCCATATCTAATAAATTAATTGTTTAAAGTAATACTTTTAGACCTTGGCATGCTCCATATATATATTGTACACATTTAATTATGAGTGTTACCATAGTAGCCTATATATATGCCTACTCTTTCACTTCAAATTCACCACCCATGGAAAAGACTACTAGAGAAAGAAAACAAAACCCCCATTGTCCCAAACCTCCACCGGAGCCGCTGCGGAGAACGATCTCCGATGCGGGGCCCGGTCTTCCACAGACACTGCCTGCAGAAGCAGTGTCTGTGGTGGCAGTGGAGGAGGCGAAGTGCGAGTGTTGCGGGCACTCAGAGGAGTGCACGCCGGAGTACGTGGAGAGGGTGAGGGAGAAGTGCGCCGGAAAGCTGCTCTGCGGGCTGTGCTCGGAGGCGGTGGAGGAGGAGACGTGGAAGAGCGGCGGGCAGCGGGAGGCGGCGCTGCAGGAGCACATGAATGAGTGCCTTAGGTTTAATAGGGTTGATAGGGTGTACCCTGTGCTGTGTCAAGCTGAGGCCATGAGAGAGGTCTTGAAGAATAGTAGAGGTAAGGCCCTTAGCCCTAGAGGCCTTAAGGGTTGCCCTAAAGTTGGAGGGTTTGGTAGGACTTCAAGTTGTATCCCATCATTTGTATGCAAGGATATCAAGAAATAATTAAGGTTCCTTTATTTTACTTTGTATATTTTCTATAATTCTATAAGTACATTAATTATAGGGAGCAATTAATTTACTACTATGTATAAAATCTAAATTTCCTAACTTATACATGTATCTACCAAAAAAGCGATGTATATACTCCCTCCAAAAATTTTAGTATGATTTTTTAAGTACATAATATTTTGAATGAACTTCGACAAATTAATATATATTATGTCTACATTTATTTAATTCTTAGTTGTATTAAAAAAATTATAATAGACGGTTATTTATGAATAGAAGGAGTTTGTTACAATGTATATGTCGAATTTGAAGTCAAATATTATTAATTATGGTCATTTAAGTTTGATTTTTTACAGTGATGAAATATTATAAATTATGGCTATAGATAAATTTAAAATCAGACGGAATGATAATATGAAAATGATTTCATTGTTCTTTTTTTGAAAAATGATTTCGTTATGTTATTCGCAATATGTTTGTTAAGTTTAATTATTTCTCTCTATGCTAGAGTTCCAAAGAATAAAAATCATCAAATTTACACACTTAATTACTATATTGAATTTAAATTTTAATTTTCTAATTATTTTAGACTAGATAATTATTTTGAGGTTTGCAAATAACAAGTTTGTGATCTTTTTATTTGTGACTTTAATATTTATGTCATCTTAAAGTAAGAAATATCAAAGTAAGACTAAAACATTAAAAATATACTCCCTCCGTCCCGCTATATTCGTCCACTTTTGACTTTTGGAACTGTTCATCTAAGCACTTTGACTCATCAAATTCTCTCAATGTGTAAGCCTAAATATAGTCATGCGTGATCTTGTTTGATTTGTTTTAACATATACTCCCTCCGTCCCATAAAGTGTTACCCATTTTGACTAAAGTTGAAATTAAGGGAGGGATAATTTTGTATTGACTTTCCAAAAATACCCTTGATGTGATGGGTAAAAGTAGGATGTGATGTGTAGATTATTAGAAAAAAGGTATGATGTGATATGTAGAGTTTGAAAAAGTAAGGGGTAAAAGTGATTTTTTAATAGAAATGGGTAAGGGATTGTGGGACACAATTTTTTTGAAACGTGTAAATCTTTTTGGGACGGAGGGAGTAGATTATTAATATATAATTTATATAATTTTTTAATATACAAATTACAAGATAAAATGGATTAAAGAAGTGCATTGGATGGTGTGCAAAAATGAAAGTGGACAAATATAGTGGGACGGAGGAAGTATAAAAATATGATTTTCATGTTTTTATTTCCCAAATAGGACTTATATTATCAAACATAGTCATGTACATTACCAAAAAAGTATAGTAATGTGTACATGTACAGTGCCACATTACAATAGTGCAAAGTCTTATTTCGAGAAAAAAACATGAAAATTCTATTTTGGCATTTTTCTCTATGTTTTAATTCTATTTAGGGTGATTTGTACATCTGAAATTCTTAATAGGGAGTACTTGCAAATTACAATTTTGCACGGAATATTAATTAAAGAAGGAAGCTATATTTAAATAAAGAACTTAACGATACGTTTTAAAATGTGAGGAGAAACTTTTAAGGCCGAGTATTGTTAGATGTTTATTGTTCTAATTATTTTATATTTTAAAATTGAATATAGATTTATATTTTAATATGCGAATAGTGGTAATTAAAAATAAAAATTAGTACTAAATTTTAATGCGCAAGTCCTTTGTAAAAAACAAAATAGGGTCCAATACTAAATTTTGCCCACGGCTAATATCATATTTTCACATTTTCAAGCTTTATTCTTCCAAAAAATTGCATGTTTTAATGTTTTTTTTATTCCGGGCCTAAGCCCTCTATATGATTTTTTTGTAGCTATATAATGCAAATAAACAAATCCTAACTACCCTAATAAGCATTTATTTTAGTCAAAAATTAAAAAAAATATGTGAGAAGGTCTACAAAAACGGTATGCATCCAAGGTGCACCAAAGCAGCACTCATCAAAATTAAACACATACGGAGTATTTTAAAAAATAATGATATTTGGATATATCAAATACTCCCTCCATCCCACAATTGATTCCAATGTTCACTATTCCAAAATCACGATTACTTTGGTTTATATATGTATTTTTATTGCTTATTTGATAAAATAAAATATTCTTGTCACCTCTTATATCGTAAAAATTTTGATGTAGTTTTTAAATAGTAAATTTTCTTTTTTATTTATATCTCAATCTTCAAATAAAACGAATTAAAAAAATTAGATATCTTTCTATGTTTGCAGAGACCTTATACTTAACATAATTGTATTCCAGCACAGTTGTCATTTGTCAAGTTGTCAGAAATCGAATTCAAGTCTAAAAGAGCATCACTACTCAATTCTCTCTATTCTACTTTCACATCATCTATTTCCAATACCACATCACTTTCTCCTTCAACTTTCTCTACCCTCCTCTAGTCATTCCATTACTTTTTTAAATATTTTTTTCCACGTGACATCTTATTCGTAAAAAAAACATAATAAAAATATTTGGTCAGTCATTTGTTTCGTCTCTCCAAGGGAATATTACTCTCCCCTTGTCATCTCTCCCCTCTATCCCTCTATGCCTTCTAATCATTATTCTATTTTCCTCCCTTCACATCATCTTATTCCCCCTACATTCCACTTCATTATGCTCTAATGCCACAAATTATACTCCGTATTATACAATCGGTTATACCCAACGTATTATACAACCAGTAAAAGGAAACAGAAGACGCAAGGTGACGATCGAAGAAGTTCGGTGAAGGAGGAGAAGAGCCGATGAAGGGAGGGCGACGATCAAAGAAGTTCGGCGAAGGAAGAGAGAAGCTGATGAAGGGAGGGCGACGATTGAAGAAGTTCGGTGAAGGAGAGGCGCACAGACGACAAAGGGAGGCGCTCCATCAGCCGCCGCCGACATTATTGAGGAAACCCTAGATGTTTGGTCTAGTCATGTAGGAGAGAAAGAGAGATGTCTATTAAGTGCTCGTATGAATTTTATTTTGTTTGAGAATGAACAGTACTTTGTTTCAGAATGAATACGACGTTATTCGTAGATGAATGTTATAATTATATTCATAAATGTGTGAAAATAAGTATTACGTTATTTCATAATGAATATTATATTATACTCCCTATCAGAATGAATACCAAATTATTTCAATATGAATATTTATGTTTGTACATTGATGTATGAATTTTGAGTCATTTCATAATTATTGAGTCATTTCATAATTATGAAGCCGAGAGTTGGGAAAATCTCCACAGTTTGAAAGCAGCGTGAAGAAATAAAATTGAAAGCAGCAGGAGAGGGAAAGAAAGGAGCGAGTGGATAGCGATTCCCAGGTGCGACTCTTTCAATCTTTCTTTCTCACTCGATCTTCCAGGGATTCTACCCGGATTTAACGATCCGAACGAACCTATCCGAGCAAATTCCAATTCCACCGGCGATCCAGATCGAAGGGATGAACAGTAATAGTATAATCACCCTATGTTACGATCTGGATTGCAATTTTGAAAACCTTGGGTTAATCGAAACACGAATTCTCAATCTGAGAGTTTGTGACCAGACATTTCAGAATAGTAACTCATATTTTCAAAAATTAGAATGCACTCATTAGGTTTTTGTGTATAACTCGGATTTTTGTCAAGCTATATTTGAACTCCCATCATATGGTGGTGTGTTATATTTTGGTTTGTTGTTTCAGTGAAGGAGATCATGAAAGTGAAGATTCTGAGTATCCAATAAATGTCATGTCTTTTTATGGCTTCTCAGTTGTTGAATAAGTTAAAATTTAGTGAAAAGTTTTAATTTTTTTGGCAAATGATATTTGCTCTGCATATGATTCTATAATGTGTGGATGATCATGACTGTTGGACTATCCACCTACGTTGAGATATTATCATTTGTTTTTTAAGATGAATTCTCATTTTGTGTATCTTTGTCTTGTATTTGGATTCAGAGTGTGTTCAATTTTCTCATTTTATTTTTGTTTTAAAAAAGAAATTTGTAGACTGAATCGTACATTGCATTCATTGAATGAGTATATGAATTGCATGTTTTGATTTATCTCTTGAATTTACATCATCAGCACCAGCCTAGTCCCATTTGGTTGGGCTCAATGACTCCGTGACATTTAAATTTATTAAGCCAATTAATTATATTCTTTCATGCAAAAAACAATGGCGATGTACTACTACTTCTGCCCCAGAATGGTGTTCCTGGGTTGTTTTATGATGTTTGAAATTAAGAAGTAAAATTTATACAGAGTAGTATATTTTAAAATTACATCAAAAGATCTACAAAAGGTGACATGACCGTAATTTTTACCGAATGAGTAACAAAAAGAGAAACAAAGTCGGTAAAGTTTTTCGTTGTGAATAGTGAATGAGAGCTTCATTTTAGTTCAGAGGGAGTACTTCGGAGTCATTTCTTATCTAAACCTCCAAGAAAGGAATAGTGAGATGAAAAATCAAGAACTGTTTTCGTTGTAGCTACTTTAATAATATCATGAGATGACAACAGGGTGAGATATTTGCTCCACTTTTCATTACAAATTAATTGCTCTGCATTGTTACTACTACAAAACATTTGATTTCTCAAGATGCATTTACTTTTGGTTGCAATAATGTTTACTTCAGATTGTTGTTCTGTACATTATAAACTATTAATGTTGTTGCATTATATTTTTGTTGGTTCATATTTAATAGTTCCATAAGTACATAGCATTTTATGACATAAGCTCAATTGTTGTTTTTGTGAAAAAAGTTTACCCTTGACTATAAATTTTGCAATGTGCTATTGGACACTACAAAAAGAGTATGCCCTTTTATCTATCTTCACTTCTATCATGGTGTATCTATTTATATTATGTTTAATCAAAGACATAAAATGATAGTTTATGTGGGTTTCTTGAATGTGGACTGCAGATGGCATGCTGTTGCATCATGGACATGGGATGCACAGGATGAAACTTGTGGGATATGCAGAATGGCGTTTGATGGTTGCTGTCCTGATTGTGAAATCCCCAGGGATGATTGCCCATTAAGTAAGCCTCGGAACATCTTACTCTCACTTTATTTTGTGTTGTCCTGAATCTTTTAGTATTTTGCGTTTTTTAAAATTATATTTGTGTCTTTAGGTGGGGACGTCTTAGGAGGGTATGATAAATTAGTTGATTTCAATATGTTCGCAGAGTATTGATATAAAATAGAACAAACCCAGTATAATCCCATTGGGGCCGGATGTGTCAAAACATACACCATCTTACCTCAGTACAAAAAGAGGTTGTTTTTGATATAACATCCAGGAAAGGAAACAAGGCCTCCATGACACAATCTAATTGGTCCTATACTCCTATCTGCCAACATTCGATGATACATGCGACAAAGGCCTCTTTTATTCCAACATTTTGCTTATTACTCCATATGACTTTGTTCGGGAACAACACTTCTGATTTTCATTAGATGATACGGAGTACAAATTAACTATGAAGGTTCTAAAGTCAAAAGTTGCCATTGGATAACATTTGGATTGGTTTTCACACAATGGTTTGCTTATTTGTGTGTTTTTTTGTTTGGTATTGCAGTTTGGGGAGCTTGCAACCATGCATTCCATCTCCATTGCATCTTGAAATGGGTGAATTCACAAACTTCTCAAGCTCATTGCCCTATGTGCCGAAGGGAATGGCAATACAAAGGATGATGATGAATTGATGACAAACTTTGTTTTCTCAACACATTTTCTAACTTCTGGGTACGTCTTTGTTCTGTTTAATCGCGGTGGCTTTGAGGCGAGTATGTCACTTAAGCTGATTTATATGGCTCCAAGATTAGTTGGACGAACGTAACGGGTTATCAAATTGATAGTTGTACACTTATTGCAGAAGTGAAAGACCAAATATGGAAATGGTCTAATTCCAATTCAAATTTTTATTGAATTGTGGGACTGAAATTGATTTTTTTCCCCAGTGATGTGGATTGAATTGCTTGTGTACATGTGCTCATTGTAACCATTCTGCCCCAAAGTAAAAGTTACTATTGACACTTTTCATCTTTAGAAGTTACTCCATAAAAAATATTACCATGATTTGACTTTTCACGTCAAACGGCACAAAGTTTTGACCATAAATTAAATACAATTACAAAAAAATTAAATGTTCCGGAGTATAAAATTTTGATATATCAAAGCTACATTTTAGAATGAATCTAAATTTAGCAAATTTACATTATGATTAAATATACTTTTCCACAAAATGTGGTCAAAGTATGCCACAATTTAATTAAAAAAATGTGATAATCTTTAGTTTTTCCCTTTGGGTTTTTTTCGTTCACGAGTGGACTGATCAATAAAATCTCCCTACAAAAGTTTTTCCATTTTCTGTTTCTATTCATTTCAAAGTGATTTTTTTCATTTTATTTTTAGAAAAAACGATTGTAATAAAAATACATCTTTCTATCATTTTTCATAACTCAATATTTTCTCAACATTTTTTTTAATTTCCGTAAAATCAAAATGAGCTACAGAGTGTTTATAGAAAACTTATACTAAAATATAGGGTTTATAAAAAGTTTGAGAATCTAAGAATTTTGCAGTTCTTAGTTTTAACAAGACCACACATTTTTAAGGGTTACTCCCTCAATCTCACAAAATATGGTTTCTCCTTCCTTTTTTTCATATGTCCCAAAAAACTTTTTTCGTTTCTAATAAAAAGTCACTTTTACCTCTACTAATTCTTAATCTACCTATCACATCACACTTTTTTATTATTAATATGCTAATCATAATAAGTTTTACACCACCTTTCAAAAAAAATAAGTTTTACACCAAATTAAAATATACTGCATATAAATTTTTTAAAAGTCAAAACCAAAAAGATTTTTTGGGACGGAGAAAGTAGTTTTTGGTCAACCGTTTATCTTTTAAAAAAACTCAAAAAAAAAACTGTTCAAAATGTTGGTAGACTCGTCTCTGATAATATTAATATTAATTTTTATAATTTCCATTAAAACACAATTAATGAGGGATTAAAATCCTAATTTATACAATGACAAAACTCGTATGACAATTCCAAAATTGAACCTATTTTGGAAGCATATTTTTCCCATAATTTTTTGGTTTTGTTTCCGACAACGAACTAAGATGTCACATTATTTTCAAAGTGTAACTGTAGATATTTTTCCTCTGATTAAGGCATGAAATCAATTTTATGTTTAACAAAATAATAATAATAATAATTTCGTGGAAGTAGTTCAATTTACTGCATGTGCCAACAGCCAGTGTTTTAATGCGACAATAATGCTTGTGCAATTGATATTTCGTTTTTCAAAATGGAATAGTCAATGAATATAATACATTATAACTTTTGTATTATAAAAAAACAACAGTTTCAAATATTTGCACTAAATTGTAGTAAAACTTAAGTCATTTCTCTAAATAGCACTTAAATTATTTTATTTTCTAAATAGAATTTAATGTCCATTATGTCTAGTGATGGCGAATGCTTGAATAATGAGTAATGCATAATGACTAAAAGTGCTACATTGGAAGAAAAAAACACATGTGGTGCTATTAAGGTAATTATGTTTTAGTATTATTTAAGTAATTCCTCTTCAAATTATTCAGGTCAAAATTCGCCTTACTTACCTTGTCCCGAAAAGAAAAAAACGGACAATTTATGCGTCTTGTTTGATTTTTTCGAATAATAACGATTGAATTTTGATTTTTACCTAAAGAAGAATTACGAGCACATTGTATATTAGAGCACTGGAAATGGTCCTAACAGGGCATTTTTGTTGGTTTTAACGCCAAAGGAGCGTTAAACACCGCTCCTTTGGGGCTTCATCACTTATGCGTTAAAGGTTTAACGGAGAAAGAAGAGAAAATGTGTGGGTCCCTCCATTAAAAAATTACTTTGTATGTAAGAAAGGAAAATGTGTGTTTGATTCTAGGGTTGTGCTATTGTGATTTCAAGGTGTATTAGTAGAATGTGAATCTTCTCACAAATTTTCTAAATGCTCATAATTAGTTTTTTTTATATTCAAAAGATTCGATATATTTAATCACTTTATGTATTAAGGTTTATAAAATGAGCATAAATCTAAGACTTACGGAAAATTTTGTTTTGATCTTATAAATTTTAATCAAATTTTAAATATCCCCACATGTATTTTTACTTCAACTTTCATCTCTAACTATCCAAACCCGAGACTAGGCACAAAATAATACTCTCACTAGTCACTACTATACTTTAGACTTCAAGTTCAAATCTTGAGATCCCAACTTTTGAATGCTAGTCTATAGCTTTTACTTACTCCGTAGTTCATAAAAATTCTTCTTTTAAGTGTTTTTTAGTACTCCGTATTATTAATTGTATTATACGGAGTACTATACAACTTGACCATAAGTTTGAGGTTCGAAACATTGACCTCCTAATACGGAGTACTTTATAATAGAATTAATAGTATTTAAAAACTATTACAATTATGATGTTTGCGTGAAGTAATTTCAATTTACGTAGTATTTAGTTAGTCATTTCAATCCCAAAATTGTATCACATTAATACTTGCACAAAATAAGAGATGATATGACTATACTTCTTTCATCCTAATTTATTCTTCTCATTTGAAAGAACATGCAAATTCTAATTTTCTTTTAAAATGATTTTATTTACAAATTGGAACAAATATAAAAAGTACACATTACACTGATCAAAATTACATTGAAAATTTTACCAAACAGAAGGTGACAAAAATATTTCACTTTATAAAATAATCAACAAAAGCGTACAAACAAACATAATTTATCAAGATAATGTAATACTAACTAAAACGAGTAATTTTTCCCAAAATAATTTTCTTGATTATATATATATATATATATATATATATATATATATATATATATATATATATAGACACTCTCTCGAAGGAGTTAAATTAGTTTGGAAGTAATAAATGAGGAGGAATAGCTGGTTTGAACATGTCAACTATTTGTTCGAGTCATTAGGCTTGCAAACGATAATGTTCACATTAATTTAACCATTTTTCGTTATTAAATTTTACAGAAATAATTTATATAATCCGACAATACCCCTCAGCCATGTTTCTTTTTTTAAAAAGAAAAAAGTAAATAACTTTACTTTGCTCACATTTATCTCTCTCTCTATACCCTCACTATTCTCCCCCTTTATCTCTCCTTCTTTGGTTACTTTTTTCTGTTTTGCTTTCTACCGGAAAGCCATTCAATTTATGGAAACGCCGGAACTCTTCCACGGTGGTTTCATCGGCGGCGCCGGAGAGTACTCGCCGGAAAACCTGCTTCTTGAGAAAAATGGGGACAACTTTATTGTGGAGGAGCTCCTCGATTTGCCCGACGACGAAGACGAGGAGGAGGGCACTGTCAGTGACGGCGGGCCACTCGACGCCGCCACCACAGATTCCTCCGCCGTCACCACCGCCGCGGACAACTCCAGCAACTCCAGTGATGCCACGTGTCACCACCACCTCAACGGCCAGTTTCCCGGCGACATCTCCGTTCCGGTAATCAAATTTACTTTATTTACATTTTTCTTCGTTTTAAACCAATTTTATAGTGACACGTTAAATTGTACAGTACTAAAAAATTGTCACACATTGAATTTTTTTGTTAAATTGTGGCACTTTAAAGATTGTCACACTTTGAGTGCGAATTATGAAAAAGAAATATTTTATATAATTTAAATTTAGTAAATTGAGTTTATTTTAAAATATAATTTTGAAATATCAAATTTTTTGTAATATTTAATTATTTTAAACTAACTTTAATTTATGGTCAAGAAGTGCCATATTTTAACCAAAAAATCAAAATGTCGCAATTTTTTAAGGACGGATGGAATATATAAATTGTGCAAAAAAAATTTGTTTTAAACAAATAATATTTATTTGCATAATTAGAAATATAGAGTATGGTGTAAGTGTACTAAACATATTAATTTTTCTTTGAAAAAATATTACGTAGTACGAAGTATAATATTAAAAGATAAAAATTACTTATATTTAAACCGAACAACAAAATTTAGAAGATAAGTGACTATTTAAATAGTTTATTTTATTAAATGATCAGTGTATAAGAAAAAAAGAGTACAATTTTTCCATATTTGTCAGTTTTTTATTTGAAAGCTATATTAAAAAAATAAATAGACAATTATGAATAGAAAACATGTTGCTGACTTTTAAAGGGAAAATGAGTATTTTTTTTTGAAACCTAAAGAGTAACATATTCTCGTATATATAGATGGATAAAAAAAAGTACAGTCTGTATGTCACAAGTCATAAAACACACCAAAGTACGGAGTACCTTATTCGTCAAAAATTTACTCTTCTCCTTTCTGAATAAATTACATTCTTTGATCAACGTATAAAATTTAATTTTCTTAAATTTATTCAATATATAAATTAATTAAGAAATAAAAAATAAAAATTACATATTAAAAAATTATATCAAAATTTCTATTTAAAAAGATGACAAAAATATTTTATTTTATTAAATGATATATAAGAATATGCAAATAAATAGAAGTTATTCGAAGATCGTAATTATAATTACTCCTACCAATAATGTACATGTCACTCTACAAAATTAATTCTAAAAAACTTAGGAGAAAAAAGATTAAAATAAGGATAAAACATAGAGAAAAATACTAGAAAAATGAGCTTTATATTTTTATCTTTGAAATAAGAGTTCTGATGTCAACAATGTCAACAAATAGTGTTCAAAACATTGTGGGATGCCAATGTACAAGGCTACATTGTTATAATGCTAACTTTTTTTTGGATAAAACATGGAGCTCTTATTTTGATTTTTTTGATGTTTTATTTCTAGGTGATTTCTTCTATCCCTTTATAGACATGACTTCTTAATTTCAGAAAAAATAAAAAAAATAATTACATACGATAACACTTTTTATATGTTTATTGTTTTACTA